TCGGGATAATATTTTGTACAACTTGATCTCATTTTTTCGTTTTCTTTAAAGAACACAGTTGCAATCGTTTCGTATACCCTAGTAGTACAGTTTCCCACCTACGCTACCGTGTGTAAAGCTGAAACCCAAAGTGTTGCATACAAGTGTGGCAGTAATGAACACGATCACTTCGTTTTCTTGACCATCTATTCCGTCCTAATTGCAACAGTATTACAATTATCATTTAGCATGGCATTTGTTTTTATCGCACATAACAGTGTGTATGATGGCGATGTATAACACATGGCAACGCACGCCATGTTTCACAATCGAGCAGTTTAATAATAAGAATATTATTCCACACGGCTGCTTGCTGATATCGTCAGCTTGATCAATTTCATTATACCTCCTGAAATTCATATTTATAGACATTCGTTGGATATGATCGCGAAATTGACATGGCAGTTGAAATAAGGATATGAATGAACACGCCGACGTAGCCAATATTTATCGTTCGCTAAGGAGTTCGGAATTTTTCCAAGTGTTGATTGCACCCATTCACCAGGATCTACCACTATTCTTGCCATGAGCGGCACTGTCCAGTGCCTGTAGAATGCTGCCTGAACATATGTACATGACCTGGGTAGATCGCTTGTTCAATGTTCTGGATAAGTACTGCGAAAGAACGGTGCATTGAAAGTAGAATTTTTCGTTACGAATTGTCTTTTCCAGACAGGCTGATGGTGCCATTACTGCGTGCACCAAAAACATTAGTTATAGTTGAAGTTGAGTGTTGCTTTGCAACTTTAGAAACTTGAAGGGTCTTCAGAGCATTGCAGAATCTTTCTGAAGGATGTCGGGAAAAATACGGACGCAGCATTAGTATTAAAGGCATGACAGAATCACTCTCAAAGAGATTTACCAACGTTTTCGGTGTTGAAAAGTTTTGAATTTGTCACGTATAATAGGCAGGAGACACGACGGATTTGGTATTTATTCGCATGTATGACCAGCGTACACTTTCCATTTAAACGTGCTGTTGATCATGGCAACTGCGTAGTTCACAGCTGAACCAGGTGTTAAGCTTACAGCACTAGGATCGGGATCATCCTCAGAGGTCGAGCGTATCACTTCTTCTGAAGCCTTTCGTTGTGAACGTAAATTAAGTCTGCATGACCAGATCGATGTTCTTCTCATTGAAACTGTTCTAATGGCAACTGAAGTTGGATTGTGATTTTACAGCACTGCCAGGGATATTCAAAGTCGTACATGTATTTCTCACTGAAGATTCTGGTTGCGTAACGTGAAGGGATCTGGGGAAAGCACGGGTTTTCAGAGAATTTTCCTCCGGTTGAAGAGCAGATCAGTCACAAACCGTCTCATGAGCTACAGCTACCTGTAGCAACTGCAGAAGACAATCAAGAGCATGCGATTGAGAAAGGATGATCAACGCATGATCGGTGGCAGTGAATTGAAGTCCTTAAGTCGTAATAACACTACTGCTGATTTAAACGACCTGACCTGACCACACGATTACATCATAAGCAACGCCTTCGATGGCACCTGCATCGAACTCGAAATAAGTTTCAAAAATTTTATGCCTACTTTGGATCTCCTCCTTCATCATTTAGTTGCCAGTGTCTTACGTTTATCCATATGTTAACTTTTTCTTATCGTCTTTCCGCCTTTTGTTCCATTATATCTTTCACTTACTGTTTTTTTTCTTTTGCCTATTTTGCGTTGTTTTCTGTTAGTTCTTTGGAGCGCTATGGTGGTACTTCTTATAGTACCTTCTCGTCTTTGAATGAATTGACTACGGTATCTTCTTTTACTGTGATCACTGTATGTTGATAAAGGAGCAGCATTTCGTGCTCCAGAGGTTCATCGCTTCCAGTAGAGATTTACCCGTGCCTTGATCAGTTTTTTCTGTGAATTTATGTCTGTATTAGTATGTTGACGTCGTTTCCTACTGGACTGTTCAGAGGTTGCCCTTTCGGTTCTTTCGCCTATAATCCTGCTGTGTATTTGAATAGCGCTTTCGAAGCACTGCATGCTAAACACGCATTAAGTGTAGCACGCCCGTCCCGAACTAACCGTTCTCTCATGTTGTTCACCTGTTTATCTTATACATAACTAGTGTATTTTCTGTACTGTTATCTGTTTTCTGTTTTGCACGTAGGTTTCTAATGACACGAATATTCCAAGCCCTTTAACTCGTAACCTTGTTTTCCTCATATTTTCATAGGGTGTTATTTTTTCAGACGGCAAAGAGCAGCCGGGTGCCAGCCGCATATTTGTCATTCGACCAAATGTGACAGAGGTCGGCTGTGATCGTGCGTTGAATTCCAGCGATGCTCGGGCGCTTTGCGTATGATATTTTATTATTAATGAGTTTCGCGGAGCTACGCGGAAGCTCGACTTGGTTTGCCGACTTAGGATGCATGGGCAAAAGGGAGATTTCGTTACCTTTCGTTTTAAACCAGCAAAAGTCAAAGTCGCATAAAGCTGATTGGGCTTCGACAGAGTCTACCTGCTGTAAATAGCTACATGTTTAATGATTTCGAATCGTGTGCTTATGTACGTCTACGGTCATACAGATAAACTTCCTGCTTCATTAGCGCACCATTTCCTATAGCTGTTATAATGCTCCGAATACCTGAGCGTATCGGTTTACATAATGCCGTGCATCGAGTTTTTCCTTGATTGCCCTCTTCGACTTAACGTTAGAGTATGGTTTCCTCGTAGCTTACTGTACTTATAAAGTTGTCGTCATTTCACCTTACGCTCGTGCAAGAGCCGGAAGACTGTTTGACTTGTTTTTCATTTAGCTGTTCGGACAGGATATTTTGCCAAGGCACTGTGTGATCGCATACATGGACAATACGACGACCATCACGCCTTGCAGTCGTAACGCGGAGGTGCTGGTTGAGGAACGCCGCATCTTCGACACAACCATTCTGAAGCAGGGCAACTTGGTGCGCATAGGCCAGAATCACTTGTTTCAGTTCTACGAAACTGGCGGCGAGGTTATTTACTTTTAATATTAATCGTTTACTGTGATAGATTAAATTTGTATTTAATCTAGATCTGTGTTCCTCATAAGCGGCTCAGGTCATTAGCGTATTGCTGTTTAAGTACTACGAGCGTAAGACAGAAATTTTACTATGGGGAACAAGTCATACAAGGATGATACATCATGAGACGATAATGTACTAAAGTCTGTCGCGAGGCTTTTGTCCGGGGGGGGCAGTATGGGAGTGCGAAGGCAGCATTGTATCTGACTGTAGTTCGATATCCGCCGTCTTCGTAGCATTAGTGAAACCCAGTGGCAGCGAGGATGGTGGATTTGCGGAGTCGTAAGAAGTTGCGAAATTTTCGGTCAGATAGCAGGGTAGAAACTTTTCAAGACGATGACATCGCCTGTCTGCCATTAGCGGGCATTCAGATGAAATTTCTTGAAGTAGCAGTATTTGCACGGTGTTTTTCTTCTATCATGGCCGTAAACGGGCAAGTGCATTAATAACCACAGTCGCATAATCGACATGAGATTCAAGAACAGTCTGTATGCTTTTACGTTAATCGTTTTCTGTTTTAGGCCCTTGTCGATCTGCAGGCCACCTCAACGACAAACTACGGAATGATGAGAAGCATGTCGATGCCATTGGGGTACGAGAATTTTATGTGAATGCTTTTATTGGAAATGTCTTCCTCCAAGCATGTTCCTTTTAACAGGGGTCCTCTGTTCGAGTCACCTGCCTCTACATTTTGCGGTCTTTGGTCAGAGCTACTCCTCTCAATACACCGTATTGTTCTTTGCGAGTTTTCGCTACCCTTTCTTTTGACTTCTGCTCCTTCTCTTCCCTAGCAGTATCAGTACTTGAACCACGTTTCCAACGTTCCCGTCGGATCTTCTTTTCACGTGGCCGAATCAACGAGGCCTGTTCTCGATCAGCGTTCTTAAAATTTTTGCTACGCTCAAGGTGTCTTTTATGAAGCTGTTCCGGATACGGTTCTTTTGCTTGCACCGCACACCCGACTGAGCATTCGCATTTCTACTGAGTTCAACTGCTGCTCATGTCTCTTCAGTGTATCTAAACATTCCACTCCGTGAGGAAGTACCGGATTTACTATCGTTCTTTGCCCCTTCACTTTCAGTTTAACGGCCCGCCTCATATCGTACGCCGTTCACCACGCTTTATTTGCTGCATCCGATTTCTTAATTCAGTATCGATTTTCTCATTGTCTTGAGGGATGGAACCAAGATTCTTGAATTCTTGGGTTTGATGCAGTGTACTCTCCGCTGCCTTCACTGATTCGTTTTGTTGCCTTGTCTTCTTTTTTACCCGCGGAAATGGCCTGCCATGTATTCTGATTTACTGTTGCTGCAGTGAACTCCTTTTTTGTCGAGAACTCTTCTCCATGCCTCGATTGTTGCTGGTACTGTTTCGCTGCTTTCACCGCTCAGTGACACATTATTTGCATTCAGCATCAGGCTGCTTCCACAGATCTTAATTATCACGTCTAGCGTAATCGAGAACAGAAATGGGCTCAGTGCTGAACCTTAACGGGCCCCTAGTGGCACAAGACATTCTCCCGTTTCGGCGCATGTACTTCGAACTATTGTTGTCAATCTGTCGACACATGTTTGGTATGCTTGGCATGTTTTTTTGGCACCAGACTCTTTCTCATGCTCCTCCAAATTGTCTACTGCGCAATTCGATCGAAAAGTTTCACTAGGTCTCGGATCACCATGTGAATGTCCTTGCTGTCTTATTTGTATGTTTCGAAGACAGATCTTAAAGCAATGATAGCATTCGTGGTTGACGGGCCAGACCTAGGGCAAAAATGATTGACAGGAATATCGACCTTTTTCCTCATTCTTTTGTTCAGCACCCTTTCATATGGCGTCATGGCTGGGCTGAACATTTTGTATGTTGGCAAAAAATGTTCGTTCACTATGATTACAGCATCTTTTCACATTTTTCTTCATCTTCATCTTCCATTGCCGCTTTTCCTTTCGGGATCGCGGAGGCAGACAGGTCAGGCAGAGCTTCCAACGTTTT